CACACACGTAAAGTGGGGATTGTGATAAATATCTCCACGTTTAAGAAGATCAGTGGGATGTTGGGACTTTGATTTTATAACAGCAGCCTCAGAAGCTCCAAAATCTTGGTATCTGGTTGTTTGTTGACTTTAAAACATGCAGGGGATTAAGGAAGCCTGGCCTTGCCAAATTAAATTAGCAATAGGCCCTGTAGTTGTATCTAGTAATGTCCAGATGCAAGACACTCTGGAGAAAAAGTGGTTTCCATAAAGAACAGAAATAGATAATTTAGTAATCTTATTGAGGAGGAGAAAAAAACCTCCACTATTTGAATGATAATAGGAGGTAGATAGAACTGCAATCTCTTTCCACCGTATCAGTGAATTAGAGCACTTGAAGCTTCCAGGAAAATCTGTAAAAGACTTTTAAGTAGTCTGAAAATTATTGTCACCAGTCACTTTAATTTTATAAAGGTGGACTTTTGATTAAAAGGAAATTAATAGATAGAGTTTCTCTATGTTTTTTAACAAAGCACATGTAGGATGAATTTCTACACTATGAAATAAGACTGCCGTGGCTCATGCTACACGTGTCCTGGAAGAGCTAACTCTGGCTTCTGTCAGGTTCCACATGGCCCTTCCCACTCCTGCAACCACTTGCACTGCTGGGTAGTACCTCTTTCTAGTTCCGCCATGGAGTCATCTCAGATCCTCCTCTCTCACAGTGGACAAAACCCTCCTCCACGAGGCCTCTCCTCTTCTTCTTGTGCAAACATTGGTCCTGGTGCTTAATGAGCCTATTTATCTGGTTTTCACCCTGAGCTGTGTGCTCTTAGTTTTACTTATCTTTGTGTCCTTACTGTCTAGTGCTAAGGAGATAAAAACCAAAGGTTGTCAGATGAATGAGTTGCTTAATCCAAAGCCTAGGAGTCATCTTGATTCATTTCTTCTGGCCTCACAATCCACTGTTCACCTGTCTAGTGTAAATGAGTTTCATGGCTGTCCTTCCTGCCGGGCTTTGCTGCCTTTCACCCATTGGACTGTGATTGCGAGGACCAGCTCCTCGCTGCCATTTTTGACTCTCTTCCACCCAATTCATGTTCTAAAGAGCCACTGCAGTCATCTGTAACGAATAAAAGTCAGATCTTCTGTTTAAGACTCCACATGAATATCTCTCTCTCTTACTCTGAAGACAAACTCCTTTCACAAGCATGTAAATCACCTTAAATAGGTTTGCAAGGGCCAACAGTGGTGATTCCGAATTCTGATGCACATTAGGAACATCTGAACATTTTGTTCTGGATTCCAGGACCTGTCTCCAGGAAGTTTTGTCAAAATCCCCAGGTGGCTGTGTGGAACCCTATGTGGAAAACCATGCTAGTCTCTGCTCTCACCTCTGCATTCTTGCTCGCACTACAGCTGCATTCCTACAGCAAGAAAAAAATGTTTCCTTGTCCCAGGTCTTCCCATGGCTGGTTCTGTGGTCATTTTAGTCTAGGAGGCTTTTTGACCAGCCGACTTCCCCTTTTCCGTATGGCAGTGCTTCATTTTGTTAGAGCACTTGCCCACCCTTTGCAGCCTTCCTCATGATGAGACACGTGCAGTGTCATGATGGCAGAATTTCGTGTTGTTTTTTTCTTCCCAGCATCCCCCAGACTTAGTAACTGCTTATTAAATTAAATTAAATGAAGTAGGGAGCAGTGTAGGAGAAATGAAATTTGGATTGTATTGTGAGAAATGGAGGAGCACCTGTTCGGGGCTCCCAAAATACCAGCTCTGCAGCTGTGAGCTGGCAGCGGCAGTGTCTTGAGGTAAGTGCCTGTGTGGGCAGAGCTGGCCTGACGTGAGCTGAAACCCTGCTCTGACTCTCGCTGATTCACAGCGTGAACCTGAGCAGGTAACCCTCACCCTGTTTGGAAGTCAGTGATTTCAACCCTAAAATGCAGAACATCACGAGCATATTACAAGCTTGGTGTGAAGAAGAATTGAGATCATGTAGGAAGGCATCAGTAAATGCTTGCAGTATCATCAAAAACCATCATGCTGACCACCCAAGCGTAGAACACAGCTTCCTCTTTCTCCCTGGCCACTTTCCTTTCTAAAGTGAGAGAAACTGCACCACGCGGGTGTGTTCTTTACACTCTAGTGAGGTCAGAGCTATTCTCACTACACTTGCTGAGGGATACCCCGCCTTATTACCTACCCTGCCTCCCGGAAGGCCCTTGTGTTTATCAAAAAGGCGTGGTGGTGGTAAGAAAACTCAAAATCAATAGCAACCAACATGCAAGTACTTCTTCAGGGCAGTGGGGCTGAGCCTGACACCCAGGGGGCACTCATGGATACGAAGCAGCTTGTTTTGTACTGAACATGGGAGCTGGGCGCAGAATTTAACCTTCTGCTACAGCACAGCAGACAGAGAAAAGTTCAGAAAGCCAAAGAATGGAGGTGTCAGATGGCTCATATTTTTTGTTTCCTCGTGGAAATAAAAGCAGAGCTTAATTATGGGTTCAGGTACTCTAAAAGAAAGAAACTGAAACAAAAAGTCTAATTTCTAGAATAGACCACGTATGACTGAATTGAGATGACGAAAATCTTATGAGCACAATTTGTCATGTTTTTATCCTCTGAGGCCACAGTGTGTCAAGTAGACAGATTGTGGTCTAAGACAGGCCTGTAGACAAGTACTGATTTGCCTTTTTAGAAGGTTCCGTCTCCCTTTCTGAGTGGGAGTCTTGAAGCAATCACATATTTGCTTACCCCAGACGCGGACTCACTTTAGATGACGCTCTTCTGTGGGATTTTGCTTGTTCCCTCTGTCTGGAGCAGAGGCCAGGCTGAGGCCCTGGAAGGCATATTGGCCCATCTCAGTCTTGGGGTGTCACGTTCTTGCTCTTACAAGGTTCCCCTTTCTAAACACTGGTGATATTTTCTGTTAAATGGGAATATTCTGATTTCTCTTTTTCCCTGTTCCTCTCTGAGTCTTCTCTTTGAAGTTAAGTAATGGTGTCATACTGTTTTCTAATGATATTTGAATAATTAGACAGAATGCAAGCTTGGCTGTGGCATCGTTTTTCATATTGTAAATCAGGAGTTGAATTCTGTTTCTCCAAGGGGGGAATATTTCTTAGTAGCCTTGTCTCTATTCCACTTTCTTGCATATTCCTGGGATATTTTGCATATTCTCAAGCCTGAAAAATCTCCCAGTGCTCCACTGGGTGGATGTGCAAGGGTGCTGGCCTGAGGGGGAGGGGGCAGAAAAATTGAAACAAACCTCAGGTCTTTGTTGGGGATCACAAGGTGCCCATTCCAACATTCATGTTTAGCAAGGATGCTGAGCTGTCTGACTGCTTGTTCTGGATGAAGACAGTGAGCTGGTCACAGGCCAGTCCAGTATTTAGGAAGCATGGCAGGTGCTCAGATACATAACCATGCAACAAGCACCCCAGGAGCATTTATTTATGTGTAGCAGATCTTTGGCTAATCTATGGGCTGAGACTCACATGGAAATTGCAGAGTTTGTTGCAAAAGGTCCCATTTCCACTGTTACAAAAGGGTAACAGGTATATGCTTTTTTATTTTTATTTATTTTTTTATTGAGTTTATTGGTACATTTTAGGTATACAGTACAGTTACAGTCATTATTGGGATCTTGTACCTTTACATGACAGGTCTTCGTCCTTATTTTTTCCCCTTATCCCTGCCCTCCCTTCACCCCCTCCTCCCCTTCCTGTTTACAAATACTTTATTTCCATTTTTTCATTTGCTCATATTTTTTTCTTTTCCCTTATTCCCTTTCCCCCACCCTTCCCGCTTTCCCTACACCTTTAACACTTTTCTTCCTATTTCACATTGTTAATTATCTCATTAGGATCTTATGCACTATTATAGTTTTTCACACCAGAGAAATTATTTGGCATTAACACATTTTGCGACTTATTTATTTCACTTAGGAGTATATCCTCAATATGTATCCATTTTCCTACGAATGAATCTAATTTCTCCTTCTTTATGGCTGAGTAGTATTCCATTTTATAGCAAAACCACATCTTTATCCATTTTCCAACTGATAGGCAAATGGGCTGTTTCCAAGTTTTAGCTATTACAAACTGTGCCGCTATAAACATAGGTGCACATATATCACTGTGATATGGTTCTTTTGGAAAAATACCCAACAGAGGGATGGCTGGGTCAAATAGAACCTCCAGTCCCAGCTCTTTGAGGTATCTCCATATTGACTTCCATAGTGGTTGCACCAGTCTGCACTCCCACCAGCAATGGTGAAGGGTTCCTTTCTCCCCACAACCCTGCCAACATTTGTTATTGTGTGATTTCTTGATAGCAGCCATTCTTTGTGGGGTGAGATGGAATCTCAGAGGTATATGCTTTTTAAAATCCCATACGAATTGTGAGCATGCCCTATGTAAGCATCGTGATGACTGGTAGTATGTACTTACAGTCTCACAGTGTTTTTGCCCAGTTTTTACTTTCTGAATTGAAGGACCCCAAGAATAGATGACTATGATGTTGTTGCCGTGACCTCTTCTGACACAGAAAGGGGATAAGGTGGTCTTCATCTTGCAAAGGCTGAGAAGCCTTAATGGAGGATGATGGGAGAAAGTGAAACCTTCTGTTCTTAAAATGCTGTAGGGACAGCTGGGAGATTTACTTGTCCTTAGATGTCTTGAAGTCCAAGTATAAATATTTTTCTGTGTGTGGGGGGGGGGCTTAGATGCTTCCCCAGAATACCACGATTCCATTGCCAAAGGAAGCGCTCAGAGCAGTAGCCTTCCATGAAGGAGGTCAGATACAGTTATGCATATATTTAACTGTGGTCAAGACCAATGCCATTGGTAGGCCAATTGTTAATCCAGCCATTGAAGATGTCTGAGTCCTGCAGTGGTTGTCACAGGCTATGGCTTCAAGTAGCAACCAATCACAGAGAGTGTACTAGGTCTAACAATAAATCCAGTGAGACGTGGGTTCTGTATTTTCTCAAATTAATCTTCTATTTTTTTTTTCAGATAACTTGTTCAAACCCAAAGAAAGGTGTATTTCAGAGAAGGAGATGCACATGCGATCTAAAAGGTACTTAATGGTTGTGTGACATCGGAAGAAGTTGGGGAGGATGCTTGAGGTGGTATAGTGGATCCACCTGCTGACCAGTGGGGCTACTGTTTCTAGGTCCATGTTTAAGGTCTTGACTACAAGTTTGATAAACTGGCTAAATAGAGGGCACTTTTCAAATCGTACCCTTGAACATCTATGCTACTCTCGGAAAAAATCTTTGGAAAGTGGTAGGTCTTGGATTCTGAACTGACCCAGTAATTATTCTTTGAGTGATCCCTTGGCTCTGAGCTGGAAACTGTTTTGCACACCCGCATCATTGCTCTGGGCAGGAACTGTGTGTTGCTGCACCTTGAAGAGACTTAATTTTCCAAGGAAGAGAGAAGCTGTTTCTCCTGAGGGCCTTGAGTACAACCCAAACTGGAAGCTGGTGGAGTGTGGGAGCCTGTGGGGCCTCAGAGGGAGCCACGAGCTGGCTTTCCTGGCGCTCCATCTCTGATAGGCTTGAAGGGCCTGCTGCCAGCAAATTCTCCCTGTTCTGCTTGTCTGGTTGTTGTCCAAGACTCCCACTAATTCTCCCCAACCTGGTTCATAGAAAGACTGCCATTCGTCCCACGATCTGGCCTCTTAAACAAAAAAGCAAAAGCTTAGCAGTGTTGGCCACCTTTAAGCAGCAAGTAAGATGTCATTAGATTGTAATAAGTTATCTAGCACTGGGAGGAATTATAATTAAATCAAATTGATAGTGCACTTAGAGGCTCCATTGAAATAGAAAGAATAATACCCTCTCCCCACTTAAGGCCCCAAATCTCTGCTTTTATCGTGATTATGTTGTTTCCATAATTAGGTAATTTTGATCATCTACGGGGAGCCTCTTTGTAAGGAAGTGAAAAGTGAGGAGAAGGGGGACTTTCCTATTAAAGACCTGATTCATAGCATTCTAACTGTGGTTTCTCAAAAAGCTGCTGGGTTTGAAGACTCAGGTCAGAAGTGCAAAGTTGTATAGACCTCATGCCTCAAGCATTGTTTTTTCAATTTGGTGGGAAAAAAATTCAGCTAAATCTTCCCCTCCCAGTCCCCCCAAACAAGAACTGCTCCTATGGAAGCTTGCAAACCAAGCAATTAAAATAACAGGGCTCAAAGCAGCATTAGGAGAGGGACTGTTCCCTATTGTTTTCATGAAGAGGGAACAGAGGCTCAAAGAAGGCCAGTGAGGCAGGTGATACTGCACTGGAGTCTTTGGCTTTCCCTGGCTGCCTCTTCCGATGGCCCCAGCAGGTGGATCCTGCTGTTCTGTGGAATGTGCCCTGGCAGGCCTCTGACCCTGGCTCACCCAACAGAAGCACCCTGGAGCTTTTCTTCTTTGCATTCTTTTTTATTTTGCTAAATTACATTTTTATTCAGACATGCACGTAATACATAATGATTACATTCATTGTGAAGAGTTGGTACATGTATGTGACACATCTTAATTATTTCTACTTTCCCTTCCCCTCCCCGCTCCTCCTCCTCCCTCCATCTCTTGGTTCCCTTCCCATTTACACAAGATCTATCTCCCATTTTCCTAATGTCTGTCTGTCTTTTATTTTGCTCTTATATTTGTACTTTGGATTTCTCATAGAAGAGAAAGTATGTGATATTTAAATTTGTGTGTCTGACTTAACGTTATAGTCTCAGGCTGCAACCATTTCCCTTCAAATGACTCAAATTTGTCCTTTATTTTATTAAATTACATTTTCATTTTTTTAAAAAAAAGATGGAGGCAAAGCTAAAATTCCCTGACATCCAGCTATTCTGCTCTCCCTTTCCAACCCTTTTCTTAGCCCCAGACCTATCTGCTATGATGCCCAGTTATATTTCTGTTTTAAAATAGACTTCTATTTGTACATATACAAATGTACAGTTATTTGATTGCTTTTTAATGCTAAGTGGTAGCATACTGCATGTTATTTTTCTATAGCTTACTTGCTGTTTCTTTGCTGACTTTTTTTTTTCTGTCTGTTAGCTGCTTTTTCTGTGTCAGAAGGCACAGATTATTTTCCTAACCAGTTTTGACATCTACAGAGTGATCCATTATATGAATGTACCACGATTGATTGGGGAATCTCTTTTAAGATATTACCAAATTGGGAGTGACAGAAGTGGGACCTAGGAGTTCTTATTTGAAACTCCCCAGTTGATTCGGATGGCCAGTTTCAGGAAGAAAAGTCTATGAATTTGAAAGACTTTCCATTGTGGAGCTTTGGGACACATTGGCTTTACTACTGATTCCTTTATAGTCTTCTCTCCAAACCCTTTCCTCCTGAATGCATCTATGCATGAATTCATGAAATCCATGTTGACGCTCACAGTGTGCCAGATACTATCCAGTACAGGCATTTTCTGGACCTCATGAGTTGATGCTATATAGCTGGGTGACAGTGTGTAAGAATCAGGCAAACTGAGGTTCAAATGCCATCCCACCATTAGTCAGCTAAGGGACTTCATTCTAGTACCTGATCTTGCTGAGACTTGGGTTACTCATTTATTTAACAATGGAATTCTGTGTTCCTCTTCCAACTACTGTGAGGATTATATGAGTTAGTTCATGTCAAGATTAGCCTACTGTATGATAATGAAGATGTTACCTGCTGATATTTTCACTGTTATACTGGTGTACATATGATTTTAATGGTGGAACATCTTAAACAGATTTCATCTGGCTTTCAAACATGAGAAAAAGTGAAAATAAGATGTTTTTAGCTGAGTGCCATGTGTATAGCAACACAAAGGCCCACGCTGCAAGATCTCCTGCAGAAATTAGTGCATTCTGGCAGGAATATTGGTTAGCACCAGTATATAAACAGTTTCTGTTAGGAGAGAGGAAAGAAGTGTCCAGAAGAAGGGTCTTGGGCCCTGCTTATCAGTTGGAAGCTCCCTAATTTTACATCAGAACAAGGACATAATATTTATGCCTGGTGTAAATCTGGAAAGGGCTTAATTAAAACTGCAGTAGGTTGAGAGGAAACACACACATTTCTGTGCATTTTGTATCTGCATTATAATTCCTGCTACTTCTTTTCTAAGTCACAAAAAGGCAAAAATTATGTGTCAAGATAAAGGAATTTGGTGGCAAGTTTATATTCAGAGAGGCAAAGCAGTTCAGAATCTCTCAGTTCACAAGTAAGGAATTATGATTGAGAAGAGAGGGACAAGAAAAATGACTTCTGAGTAAACACCTTTCCTCTCCAGCTTGCCTGTTGCATTGGCACTGGAAGCACATGGACCTGGTGCCATTCCCTGCCTCACAGCTGTGTTCTGGGGACATCAGGGAAGCCCTTCATGTCAATGTCTGATGATGTGGAAAGAGCCCACATGCAGTGCTCTTCCTCTGAAATGTGGGCACCTGCTGACACGATAGGATGTGCTCCACTGCTGGCACACACAGCCTGCTACCATTCAAAACATTCTCTGCATCTGTTTCAGAATCTATAATAACTTGCCGGAAGTTAAAAAGAAAAAGGAAGAACAAAAGAAAAGGGTGATCTTACAGAGTAACAGACTCCGTGCTGAAGTCTTCAAAAAGGTAATGGTTGGACGCCAGCAGGTGTGATGTGTGTGGCTCACAGATGTGAACATGAATTTGACATCTTTCTTTCCCTGCTTCTCCAGCAATTACTGGACCAGCTTCTTCAAAGAAATGCAGTCTGACCCCAGGCTGCCCTGCTGACTACCAGGACCTGGGAAGACTTCAAACACTGCATAAGCCATTAAATGTACCATTATCTTCATGACATGAAAATACTTATTTTGCTTTGATTTTTTTTCATAAAGGAAAACGCCACTTTGTGAATGACTGACCCAAACAAACAGAAAGAGTAGTCCTCAAGGAAATAGGTCAATAATTTGGTGGACTCCCAAAGTATTAACCAAGCCCAACACTGACTTTAATAAACTGAAACCAGATGACTCAAGAGTTAATATAGCAGGCTTTCTCTCCTTTGTTTGGAGACAGCCTAGCAGATCCTCCCCATAATAAAGGCTTGTTATGGTTCTGGTCTGGTCCTGGTCTCCAGCTCTTTTTTGCCTGACACATCTGGTGCCGAGGTCTGGGAGGATTGAGTGACTATCCCCCATGGGATGGGGTCGATTGGTCTTTCGGCTGCCTCCTCCAGACCACATCTGCTGAGCCAGGACCTCCTCAGGGCTTTTTACCTTTGCCATTGCTGACAACTCATATCCACACCAGTCACTGATTTCAGGGTGACTCTACTCAGGTCCTGCATTTTGTTCTCATTTTCTCCCTCTGGGGATTTCTTGGAAATCCAAGCATTTGGTTAGAGAGACCCTCTCAGACTACTGGGCCAAGGACTGTGCCTCTGGGGGATTCCCCATCAGCCTGACTCCTCCTATTCCCCGCTTCCAGGGACTGGCTCAGGGATTATCAAAAGCAAAGATGTTCCTCTCTTTTGCCCTCCTCCAAGGGAGCTAACTCCTCCTCCCCTGCCCTAACATGGGTGCCCAACAATCCAAAGCTCCTCCCTCAATGCCTCTTGGCTGCCTCCTGGCACATCGTCTTTCCCTTAGACTGTTGGGACCTGACTTTAAGCCAAAACGATTTTTTGCAGCCAAGTTTGACCTCAGTACAAATTAGATAATAAATCTCAATGGCCCAAACATGGCACTTTCAATTTTAACACACTGTGCAATTTGTGCAATTTTTGTCAACACAATGGCAAATGGTCAAAATTCCCCTACCTACAAGCCTTCTTTCTCGCCCCTCCTTCTGTCAAACCTGATCACCCACTCAAGTACTTCTTGCTCAAATTCCTTCCTCCACCCCTCCCAACTCCCACCTTCGAACCCAGCTGATCACTCACCACGCACACTTCCCCCACCCTAATACCCAGACAACTCTTCCATCTCCTTGAGCACTTCTTCACTTCTGCCATCTTGAACCTCTCCACTACACATGGACTTTCTCCCTGCTTCTCCAGCCCCTCCCAAACGTGAGTGTGAGTTAACAGTCACTTCTCTGCTTGCTCTTCCTTCCCCAGCTTCCTTGGAAGAGAGCGGAAAGCAAGACTGCAAAATTAAAAAAAAAAAAAATCTTCTCCTGGCCCTGCCTATTTACATATCAACAACTTGTTTGGCAGGCTGCATGACCAAGAAATTCCATCGGTACCTATTGCTTTCTATATAAATATTGGAAAATAAAATAGAAGGTTTTAAAACAATTCAAAGAAAATATAATGCTTAAGATTGGAGCTCAAAGACCAAATGCGAGGTTACAGCCCAGTGTCAGCTACAGACTGCTTGCTCCATAGTAAAATCAGCTGCGATGTCCTGCCAGGCAGGAAAATCTTTAAAAAAAATGATAAATTCTGGCTAATTGACAAATATACCTTTCATCTTCAACTTAAAATAATGTTTCATTGGTGTTTGGTTTCCAGATGTTTAATTGATGTATTTGAAACATTTCTTTTACATTGCAAATTCTTAAATTGTAATTATAGGATTAATTTGATCTTCTCTCTACTTTCTGCTTAAAGACTTCTGACAATAACTATAACACAAGATTATGCTACTGTTATAAAGTGCTTTTACTCCTGCTTCTAATTGCAAGAGATCTCTGTTAATTGATCTGCAAGTTTTGACTAGTCTTAATTAAGAAATGTTATAATTCAATTGGCCAAATATATTTGAGTGCACTCTAGTTTCATAAATTGTCTTATATGTTTGTCTGTGTCTGTCCAATTGTTTGAAAGTGTTTCTCCAGTCATATTTTTGGATCAAAATGATATCAAAGATACAAATAAATTGTTAATTTCTACAACCTGGTTTTACAGGTTAAATAAAAAATTGTCAAGATAATTAAATATAAACTTTTAGGTTTGGATAGGCTCCTGTTGGTGGATAAAAAGCAGCTGCTCAGAAAAATTTATTCTGGTCTTTGTTCACTAATAGGAGCCCCAATAATTTTCATAGTCTTATGGGAACTATACCCCAATAAATATCACTAAATATGTTGTTATAAAATGTTTACATTTGTTGTTGTTAAGGGGTTAAGTTCTAAATATGTTATTGTGATGTTTATAATGGTCATCTTCAAAATATAATATTTTCTGTGAAACAAACAAGGAATTATTTAAAAAGATCCTTTTGATACCAGGCTATACTATAGGACATAAGGTTTCATATAATTATGATTATGATTATTATTACTTTTCTGGTGTACAAAATATATTCATGTTTTCTGACTATACAGGTCTTCCATCATATTGTTTATGACAATAATCTTTTGATCCAGGTATTTGCCCTTCTCTTCTGCTCCACCTACTCATGATTACAGGTACATTTGTAGTACCATACACTTTCCTTAGATGGCATCCTATCAAAAGGTAATAACTTAAATAAGAGTTTACAGTTTTTAGTTTGTATGTGTTTTTAGAGAGGAATAAATATGTTTAACAATGGCTATTTTATACTAAGATACATATCTAAATTTGTTGAAAAATAACATCATCGTGATTGTCATGCTAAAATATTATTATTGTTGTTGTTATGTGTGGCTCCTGATTCAAAGTTTTTTCTGTTAATATTCTACAGGAAATCAACTACTAGAACAATTATGATTGATAAAAATAACAGTCCTCTAAGTATATTTTAGATTCCAGGGTGCTTGCTATCCAGATAAAGTTATGATAGTTAAACTCACTGCTCCTACTCTACTACTGATGTCACTGATCTTCTCTTCTGGATGTTCAACCACCAAAGGGCAGAGACCAACACTGAAAGGTAACTGGACTAAGAAGATCACCAATATTTTGTCCCTGGCCCTCCAAGGTCATCAAAGATCAAAGGTATGAAGGAACCTTTTCTACAACACCTTGCATCTTTGGTAAGTCACCCAACCTCTTGAACAGGAAGATTGCTGGACATCAGAAGACAAATGTACCATGTGCCAAAAGAGGGTGACCAAGAGAAAAATCTCCCCATGCTTTCACTGAAAGCAACTTGGTCAAGCAAGGCCCATGACTCACCCTAATGGCTGACACTGACAGTAGCTGAGAGGCTATATGTATGGTTCCAAAATAATGCCTAAAGAGACTTAACTGACCTTGACAGATAGCAAGATGTTCATATTGATTAACACGGGTCTCACTTTAACTTGGTCTTAAACACCCAGAAGAAAAGAATAACCAAAAGAGGCAATAAATGAACAGGCACTAACAATAGACTTTTGAGGCCTACCACTCCACCTCCCTATAAAGGGATAGATCTCCAAGTTGTAAACAAGATAACCCATTTTCAAAAAAGGCTACTACACCTATTTAATACCACCCTCCACTCTCTCCCTGTCAATATCTCAGACTGTTGGATGTGTACGTCTATTTACCCCTGCTTGTTCACTCTAATTCCTGTCCCCCTAGATTTTAACCTGTCTGTCTCAAATACTGGCTGTTTATCCGCAGTTCTGGGACCCTTTGCTACGGGTCTCCCATTCCCTACACAAACTACTAACCTGACATGCCTGGGGCAAAATGACATCACTTGCTTTGCTTGCTCCCTCTTTATCTCAGAAGGATATCTGATCTGCCTGTCCAATGGCCTGCACTTCATATGTAACCTAGAGGCATTCTGATGCCTCAATCAGTCTGATATTTTCTGTTACATATCCTTCCTTAGCCTCCCATGACCATTTATACAGAAGCCCAGATTCATGTTTAATCCCAGCCCTTGGGAAGCTGAGGCAGGAGGATCACTGTGTGTTTGAGAGCAGCCTGGGCTACATAGTGAGTTCCAGGTCAGTCTCCACTACATAGTGAAACCCTGTCTCAAAAAAACAAAACAAAACAAAAAACCCCGAAAACAGAAGCCCAGATGTCTAAACAAGTTCTCACCCAGAACACAATCAGAAAAAGGGTAGCTCCCCTTCTAGTCCCCTTCTTAGTAGGAGCAGGGGTCCTCACTAGGATGGTAATGGGATAGCGCACATTTCTACATCCACACATTTCTATCAGACCCTGTCCATAGAGATTTCAGAAGACATGGATAAAATAAGCCAGTCCTTAAATACAGTGCAAGGTCAAATAAATTCTCTAGCAGCTGTCCTGTTGCAAAATAGAAGGACCCTGACATGCTGACAGCAGTCCAAGGGGGAACATGCCAGGTGCTAGGTGAAGAATGCTGTTATTTTGTTAATCATTCAGGGATTGTTGAAGCAAAGGTTAAAGAATGACAGTAGTGTATTGAAGAGTGCAAGAGATGATGGAATACTTGGGGAACAGACCAAAGCTATTCCTGGCTCCCTCCAGTTATGCCTTGGCCACTTCCCTTGTTGGGCCCACTGGCTTGTATATGTCTTTTAATCATGATAGGGCCCTGTCTGTTTCTCTGTTTTCAAAAATTTCTTGCAGGAACGCATGAGGGCGTTTACCAACCAGACAGTCATGGAACTTGTCGTGGCTACTGAGATAGAGGGAAGAAGCCCCCACCTACCACTGCCCCCACCAGATTCAGGTTTAGCCCCAGCCTTCACCCCCTTTGTCAGCTTGAAGTAACTCTTGAAGGAGAGACCTTCACCCAACAACCATGAAACAAAAGCCTGCAGTGTTAGATTTCCCTCCCCTTTAGATGGCCCTAACTAGTGATGACACAGCCCCTCCTAGTGATGTCACAAGCTCCCCCAATCTCTAGCCGCTACATCTCTCAATCCCACCCCAGCTCCTATAAGCCCCACCCCAGTCCTGTTAAAGAAGATCCTGTTCTGCCCTGTTGCTTTCTCTGCTTTGTTCAGAGACAGCCCAGAAGATCCTCCCCATAATAAAGGCTTGTTATGGATCAGGGCGGGGGGAAGGAGTTAATATAGCAGAAGCTGCTGCCCAAAATGTGTACCTGGACCTGGCTTATCACAAAGCGGAAAGCTCCTGTAGCGAAGAATAAAATCAAACAGTCTAGAGTACACAATACAACTACTCTTTGGTTACCAAACATTAAATGTTTGTTAATGGCCTGAATGTTACTGAGATAGGTTTGTGTAATAAAGGCAAGTGTCTAAAGACCTGCTTCAGAAAGTAATGTTCCCACTTGAAGTTTTTAACGTCTGAATTTTAATCACTGAAATACTAACTGTTCCTTAATTTTTAAAAAAGTTTCCAGTAATTATAACAAAGTACACCTCCTTAGCTAGTTCATTTTTAAAGCACACTGATGGATATATGGGGCTATTTGTTTTTCTTGTAAGCATCTGAGGCTGTGGAGGTTGCACAGTGATGAGCTTTACTCCAAAATATCTCCTTGAATTCATGAAAGCAGAAGTTGTCAATTGGGTTTTTTCATGTTTCTCTGATTTTTATCTTCTCATCATTTTACCTCTTTAATAGACGCCAGAGCACAAGGTTAAAGAGGAATCTGGGCCTCTAAACTTAAATACATGTGTTAAACCTCCATGATGTTTGCCAAGAATGGGCACCAAAGCTTGGAAAATATGACAATAAATAAAGAAAACAATGACTCAAATTATAAAAAAAATCTGGTGGAGAATTCCATGTAACCCACTAGACTTAGTCCTCTTCATTTTTTGACTTCTGAGTTTTACTTCCTGCTTCCTTGATTTTTCCTCCCTGCCATTACCACCCAAGCAGAAAATCTTAATATACTCAAGTGTGCTTAGATCTCTGTGGAATATTTTTTCATCAAACTTCCTGGGCCCAAATCCATCATTTTTAAAAAAACAGTCCCAACATGCCAGTTCTGCAAACTCCATAATGTGGCTCATCGGATACTGTGTTTTAAAATGTGCTTCCTCTAATACCAGAAGCTCACCCTGGGAATTAGAAGATCACACGCTGCAGACTATGGAGCAAGCAGACTGTTTCTCTGTGACCCAGAACAGTCAGAGTAGTCCTCGGCTACCCCTCACACTACCCTGCATACGGCTCTGTCTTTGCTGAGCCAAAGAGCCTCTATTTCAGTGGGAGTTTTGCAGGCAGAATTAGCTGAATCAATGTGTAGGGGATGTCAGTGTTTCCTGCATCCCAATCCTTCTTCCTAAAGAAGCTGTGCTGTCAAATGGCCTCATGGCTCCAGCTCTGCCAATTGTTTTCCCAAATATTTACTGTATCCATTAATTATAAACATGAATCTGGGGAGTTGAGAACTAGTTTGTACAACAAAAAATTGAAATAAATGCAGTGATTGACATAATCTGATCTGCGCAGAGCAGGGGAGATTAATGCCACCACGGCCTTGGTGTTGCTCTTCTCCACCACCTCTGGCCATCACAGAGCCCTTCCTGGTGCTTCTGGTGCCGCAGGGAGCTTGTGCAAGAGAAGCAGGGATCTTGAAGACTGCAAATCTCATTTGATGTATCCCTAGGAATGAGA